CTCATCTCTTATTGGATCTTTTGACTTTAATGCAGAATGGTTCTTAATCATATTTGAACCGGAGTTCAGCCTTATGTGTCCTCCTGAGAGTCTCTTTGTGAACAAAATCATAGAGCCTTGGTGCCAAAAACTAATATACCTCATCAAAACTGATACATATCACAAGAAAGCAGCCCTGGGGGTTAATAGAATTGAAGGCTATTGTAAAATCATTATACTAGCATGTTTTTCATTTGTACCATAACAAAAGTTCATTAGAGTGTAGTTTTCTTATATTTATGTATGTTGATGCTTCAAAATACAATTGATTGTGATTAATGAAATTTGTTTTCAGATTACTTTGTTATAGTTTATATAATTTATTTAGCTAAATATGTAGTTCCTAAAGGTATATCTCTGGGTTGTGGTTGTTATTATAAAAAACGCTATTGCATAAGTAATGGCCTTAATAATTGTATAAATAATGATGACGGTTAAATGTTTTGTCATTTCTAAATAACAATGAAAAGTTATGTCATCGTTATTACGTAACGATGACCGAGTTTCTTGTCGTTAATAAGTAACGACGATATCATGTGTCGTCGTTAATTTATAACGACGAACTTTGTCGTTAAAACCAATAACGAGGGAACCTATAACAACCACTTGACGACGGAAAAAAAGTGGTCGTTAATTGCTTTAACGACCAACTTTTGGGCCTATAATGACAATATTTTTTGTTGCTAAAAGCCCTTTTTATAGTAGTGAAGGTGACTAATTCAATTATCACTAAAATTGAACCCCTACTTAGAATTTGGGGTTCCAAATGTCCAACCTACACGGATTCCAATTCCGGTTCTAAAAGATGAAATTGGAGACAAGTTTACCCTCAACTGCCTTGGCCGCTATTGGCGTCTACCACAAGAATTGTTTTTAAGAAAAAAACCGAAAACATTAAAAAGGTTACAAGAAACCACCATTCACCACTAGAAAAATGCCCTACAGTGACACCAAATTAGTGTCACTGAAAATTTCTGTGACACTAAAAAAGTGTCAATGAAAGTGGGAAATAGTGACACTTTTTAAGTGTCACTACAAGTGTCACAAAATTGTGACACTGTGGTATCACTAGTTAGTGACATATAGGCGACATAACTATTCGATGACACTTTTACATCATATATTCTAGTGACACCGTGGTATCACATAATTATGTTTTCCATTCAAGCAACACCATACTTTAGTGACACTTTGGTATCACTTTGTTTTGCACTATTTCAGCATTCCATTTCATGGGTAATTTAGAAAATCCTTTTCAATTATATTTAAAAAATTCCAATTCAATATTAACTGATCCCATAAACTATAATAAAGTCAATAAATCTCAAATCATACATTGAACATTTAAAGCATAATATTCATGTCAAACTCCAAGCTACATTGTTGTTGAACTTGTACATACTACATACGAAGTAATTCATAAGTAATAAAGAACAACAAAACGCAAACAAGTGTAACTTTTACACCATTCTTCATAGGGCCTTCACATTTCTTCTAAGATACTTAGACATCACATTTTCTGCTGCACAAAATTAAGTCATCACCTGCAAAGTGTACGTACACTAGAATTTATGAATTACAAATCAGATTATGTAAACATACATAATGGTATGTTTAGACATCAAGATTGCTTTTGTTGTAACTGCTTTCCTTGATAAGGAAAAAGTATTGAACCGCGTCAACAGAGGCATAATTCACTGGTTCAGTTATTTACCTAGTCATGTGGTTCCACTTTCAAGTGGTTTAACAGCACAACAATCTAACATCTTACTTGACCAGGTACCTCTAGTAACCAATCCAACTAGCTGGTCCAGCCCAGTTTTAAAACATTGATAGGGTCTTGTCAGGGCTGCATGGCATTACAATCACAAGAATATATTAATAGTATATGTTTTCACATGGTTGAGTATACTTGAACCAATGGTCAAAGAATACAAATGTCATGCACCACAAAGATTCGGTAATTGAAGCAAACTTAGGCATCAGTGCCCGCATGCCAGCGTGCCAGATATGGTTTTCATTAAAATGAGAAAAATGTGCTCTTTATCAGTGATATATATTGTTGACACCAAATCAACTTGAACAAGTAAGTAACTTCTCGTGTCAATGCATCTTTCAAAGCATTGATATATCAATGGGTTTTCGAGTAGAAAATTTAATATCCTGAGAACCTTTCCCAACGGCATTAACAACGGATGTGTGCGGCTCAGTTGTAAGCTAACTATATAACCAAGCAAATAAATTAGGTTTTAGTTAAAATGTTAAGAATTAAAATTACAGAAGTTACTTGAGTTGACCGAGGTGATCTTTAGCTTTTCCTTCCTCTGTACAAACTAACATTTTCTCAACAAGATCAGTTTTATTCTCTGCTAGAACATTTATACACCACTCTCATGCTTAGTCAAATTGAAGGAGGTTCTCAAAAAAATAAAGAAGATAATTTGGTAAATAGAGGTTTCCAAGAAGAGATCACCTAAATTCAAGTTGAAGTGTGCAGCCCCCTTCAAGCATAAGTCAAAACAACAAAACACAAGTTAAAATAAAAGAAAGTGTGCTAAAACAATGTATATAAGATAGGAAGGTAGAGAAACTGATAAAAATGGAATAAAAATCACAGCCCAACTCTTAGTTTTTTTTCAACCTATGCCTTTTCAAGTAGCAAAGTCAACTATTATTGTAAATGAAATATAAGTCACACTCCATCTCTTATTTTTTCTCAAAGATAAATTAAGAATCATGATTATGTCTACGTAACATCAAGTTAATGCTATAATGTTTGCATAGTTTTGCCAATTGTTATTGTATATATTCCTTGGTTTAACTTCTAATCAAACTTTATGTATCTAGGAAACACAAATTGAAGCAGAAACATCAAACATCAAAAGACCTGTTCTAGAATCCATTACTTTAAGTAGAAGGTGACAATTTAGTTTTATAAACAACTTACAAAATCTTCAAGACACCATTGAAGCTTTGACTAATTCATGGAAACTCTTTATAATCACCGTACACACAACCCTTTATGGCTTTAAGTTTTCTAGAAGCATGAAAAACCGATAAAGAACAAACCAGTGGTTTGATGCGGCAGCAAGTTCATTGATTGTTGAATTGTTTGTTGCAGCAACATGGTTCGTCCATCTTCAGATGCATCGTTAAACTTTACAAAGTTGAGAATATACCCCAGGTTAACTAAAAATAAAAAATACTCTAGTCATTGTGACTAGAGTATACTGCTCTAGTCATCAACAATTCACAAATAATACAATCACTAGTAAAAATTGAAATTCATACATGCTAATTTCTACTTCAAGTTAATTAAAAGCAGCTTTAAGAATTCTGCCAATACATGAAATTAATCAACCTGCCCATGTGAGGCTGCACCAATACAGAGGTCATCCTTCTCACTCGCAAAAATCAGCTGCACCTTCCTCCTCACAAGACTTACAAAGAACCTAACCTACTTTTCCCTGCTGCTAGTTAGTAACCAACAACATCTACTCCTCATTCTGTAAATAGATTTAAGGTTAGGGTATATATTCTGAAAAATCAGATTTGGTTTCAAAATGGCCTCATTTTTAGGTTAAAAAAACTACAAATTAAAATTAAAGGAAGTAAAGATAAGAGGTGTCAAGTTAAAGATCGAGTACCTGCTGGCTAGCATCTCCGTTCATCGGCTGGTATTCCCAAAAGGAGAAAAATCATCAACTTAGTCTGTCAATTAGCTAGGTCGGGGGGCAGGTTGCTATGAACAAGAACAACCAGATTATTGGTGAAGTTTATAAATTTCCGATTAAAACTAAACCAAATTAGATGATATTGTTGAAGGATGACCTAAGCTAGGGAGGAAAGATGAAGGAAAAATTACATACCTGAAATAGATGATAATTGCTGATGAAGAAGAACCAGCGAGGAGACGCGCGATGTCACTCGGCCGGACCAAGAACGACGACCGCACACCGTCTGGGACTCGTCTAGGCTCGAAATCATCGACCATTTTTGCTGGATCTACGTCCTCGATGATATCGTCGACCGTCGCGATGGAGTACAGTGATAGAGTAAGGCAACGATGGAGTAAATCGATCCATCTCTGGTCTGGCAGAAGATGGAGAAGACGGATCTTGAAGTATAAGGTTAGTGCGAGTAGAGCTCTCGAATTGAAGAAAATCGATCGGGAGTAAAGTAAAGTGGGTATGTGAAAAAAACCTATGTGTTGGGCGTTTAAAAAAAACTTTGCTCACACCCAGCCGACCCAGTAAGCGAATCGTTCCGTATTGAAAAAAAATAAGTGTTGCTATTCGGCTGTAAATTTTTTGTGTTAGAAATCAATGACACTTGTGTGTCATTAATGATATTTTATCAAAAAGTGTCACTATAAAAGTGTCACTGTAAGGCATTTTTTTAGTAGTGATTAATCGCGGGTGACTACCACCAGAATTCTAGAAAGTTTCTCTGTGCTTTAAAATCGTTTAAAATTACCGGAATTTGATTGCAACAGTTATTTGACACTCATGACATTGTCACCACTATTAATGAAATTATATGAATTTCTCCACTTATAAATGTTCTACTTGTATGAATTTTTTCGAATAAAATAAAATATGAATGATTAATTAATTTTTTTTGGGGGGGAATTCTCACTTTTCCTTGTGTGGTTTGTGGCTTTGTGCATAAATATTAATGATATCATATGGAGTAATATTTATGATATCATAATTTCTCAAAACCCATTTTTTCCTCTCATAAACCCCCCATCCAACTTTGTTGTACAGTTCTTACATAAAGCTCCTCTTCCCTGAACAGTTTTACCACACATCGCTCTCTCTTTTCCTCTCTGAGCTATCCTTCAAAGGAGAAAAGTTTGACACCCCAGGATGAAATTAATTTTTGTTGCAAAAATGGGATTTTGAGATAGAGCACGTTGAAAGAGGCATTATCTGGGAATTCTTTGTAAGTTTTAGGGGATTTAATGGCCGACAACAACTATGACTGCGTAGGCTCAACCTTACTATGTGAAGAGACGAACAGTCTGTGCTTCATTGATCTTGGCTCTCCGGCAACGGATGAGGTAACCCAAGAAACCGGTGGTTATAAAGGCTTCATCTTTGACACTGGAAGGTTACAGCCATTGATTGATTTGCCAAGTCTATGTGAGGAAAGCTTTCGTTTAATGGTGGAAAAGGAGATTCAGTATATGCCTAGACAAGATTATCTTAAAAGATTGAGATGTGGAGACTTGGATTTGACTTTGAGAAGAGATGCGGTTGACTGGATTTGGAAGGTGATTTGAATAGATTCTTCTTTTTGCTCCAGTTATTGTTCATTTATTACATCAATTTTATTTTATTCTTATGCTCTTTGGTTTGTTTATCTGCACATATTTTGTTGTGCGTGTACTCGCAGTATTTGAAGATCCTATAAAGTAATTTTATTACTCCTTATGTTAAATGATTTACAGGCTCACAGGCATTATGGATTTGGAGATTTTAGTTTTTGTTTGTCAATCAATTATTTGGATCATTTTCTCTCCATGTATGAAATGCCAGTAAGTTCCTCCCTGAAGAACCTAGTAGTTTCATCTCTTTACTTTTTGATCTATAGAAGTTTGTTGGGGGTTTCATATTGTGGACATATGCTGATTGCCTTGACTTGTTTTTGTGGTGAATTTTGTTTTTATTGGAAACCATAGAACAACCAAAAATGGGCAGTCCAGCTGTTATCTTTGGCTTGTTTATCAATAGCTGCTAAAGTGGAGGAGATCTCTGTGCCTTCAGCGGTTGATTTACAGGTGAAACAAAGATTTACATCCCTGCCTAGCAAATGATATGTTTGGATCTGAATCATCTGATTGTGCTGTTAATTAATTTGTGTATAGGTTGGGGAACCCAGAAGTATGTTTGATGGTAAAACCATACAAAGAATGGAACTCCTTTTGTTGAGCACTTTGGAGTGGAGAATGCAATCATACACTCCATTGACTTTCATTGACCATTTCCTGAGAAAGATTAATGGTGATGACAAAATCCCATCATTACCCTTGATTTCTAGATCAATGCAGATCATCTCAGGCACAACTAAAGGTGCTTGCTTTTCTGTTGCCTGAGGACTAAATAGTGTTTCGTAGCCAAAAGTGGACTATTCTACTTATGATCTAAATATATAGCTTTTGACTTACCTAATTGACACAGATTTCACCTCATGCCTTCCAGCAGATTAATCATATATGTTGAATAAGCCCTTAACAAACGGGCTCTTCAACTGCACTGAATTAATTTTTTATTTTTTCGGACCGAATGCAGGAATTGAATTCTTGGAATTCAGACCTTCTCAAATTGCTGCAGCTGTGGCTACGTTTGTTTCTGCAGATACTGTAGGCGTGCCCGGAGAAGACATTATTAAGGCTGTCCCTTGTTTCTCACATGTACAAAAGGTAAACTCAATGTCATGTTTGGTATGCATGTTTGCTGGGGTGAAATTTTTGGTAATATTTATTCTGTTGTTTATTGAAGTTGGAAATAAGGGAAAAGAAGAAAAATGAGTTTCAAGATAACAAATATCTCACGGGTAATATTGTCCCATTGTAGCTCAATTGAACCCTATTACCAACTGTCTCTCCGGTTCTTGGAGCCCTCTGTTATCACTAGAAACATTCTATGTAGGATCAATCTTCTATCATTTATTGATGAGTCTTATTCTTATACCGATAACTTCTTGGAAATGCATTGTTTAAAACATATTACCTTAATTTTATGAAAAACTCACAATTTTCTCATTGCAGGAGGAGGTGATGAAGTGTCTTGAACTGATTCAAGATTTGGATGAAAGAAGTGAGTCATCTGACTCAGCTCCCCAAAGTCCAAATGGAGTGCTGGAGGCTGCATGGTTGAGCTTCAAAGCTGTTGGGTCATGCCCAAGCTCTCTACAAACCAGCCCAGACACTAAAAGGAGGAGATTAGACATTTGTAATGGGGGGGAAATGATTTAAAACTAAAACCAAGAAAAAAGAAAACAAAAGTGAGGGGCTTTTTAGAAAGAAAGTCTCTATTTAATTGAAGAAAGAAAAGATAAAGAATGAGAGGCAGGAGGTGAAGTAGCTGCTTTTGGCATGAAAAGAATTGTGTACCAGCTGTTAATAATTATTCTTAGTTGTCTACAACCATGGTAAAGAGGTAGGAGGCTGGTATGAATTGGACTGTGGATGGAAGGGACTTATCTTGTGGGAGCAAAACTGCTATTTTTACCTCTTTCTTTTCCTTTTCCCTTTTTCCTTCTTTGAAGTCTTTGAAGCTTTAAGTTATAAATAAAAAGATGAGGAACACAGAAAATTGCAGTAAATGGCCAATTTTGCATTTCATTTTCAGTTTAGAATTGTGCCAAAGTTAAGATCGGAAAGAAGTTTATCAATCAATTGAGGTTTGGGGATATCAATCCTGGCAAAGTGTCAATGAAAATTGTCATTTTGGGTCCATTTTGCTATCAATCTATGACTTGAAAGGTTACAAGTTCTGATTTTCTTTTATTTTGAAAATGTCCTTCGTTTATTTTTCTTATGCTAATCTAACATTCTAACCTATGATTGCAGAAATTACATGAATCCTCACATATGTCAAATAAAAGATGTATGTGTTATTAGTCCAAAGAAGTTCTACATCTGATACTGTCGAAGTTCGCCTTTAGGATTTAGTTTTGGGATTAACATTTAGGGTCTAGAGTTTCTTTAGTTTCGGGATTAACATTTAGAGTCTAGAGTTTCATCGTTTTAGGGTTTAATGGTGGCTGCTAGGGATTTTGACCATGAGAACCGGTGATTGGATGGCATGTGACCGACATTGTTGATACAGTGGCAGCGGGCAGAGGTATCCGATGATGACTTGTTGCTGAGTTGCTGATGGTGGAAGATAATGACTCCTCCAACTCTTTTGAACTGTAAACCGTTGCATTTTGCGGCGGATAGACCTCAATCCGCTAGAAAACAAATGCAGCCAATATGTAATGTTGTTTAAGGTAGTTCAACCAATCTAATATTCTAATATATTTAAGATCTATATATATATATATATATATATATATATATATATATATAGAATAAAGATCAAATGAGAACATTGCTTAACGTGAGAACGTGAGAACACCACATTTACCCCAACGTGTTGCACAATGAAGCTTGTATATTGCACATTTTCACATTTTCACTATATTTAACAAAATGCCATCATGTTTATTTAATATAGGCTAAACTCGAGCAAATTGAAAATGTGCAACACAATAGCTCCATTGTGCACCATATTGATTTAAATGTGAGTGTTCTCACGTTCTCACGTTAAGCATCGTTCTCACTGGAACCACACCCTATATATATATATATATATATATATATATATGTTTTTGCAGTCCTAGACTCACCTAGTTCACAAAATTGTCTTGAGAATATTGGTCAACTTCCATTTCCAATTGAGCCACAATCACAGTAGTCTAAATCCCTGAACACGAGATCTAAAGGCAACTTAGGTAATTGTTCTTAAAGAGTATGCGACAATAATGAATTTGAAAGTTGAGGAATACTTTGGTAATTAATCCTAAATAATCCGTGAAGGAACTTTCATTGTACATGAACACAAAATAAGTAAAAGTAACAACAATTTTATAATATACTCCGTATAATGTAGTACATTGTAAGTGACACTCCTAACGTCTTGCATAATTAGGTAAAAGAGAGGTATTAAAACCTTGCCATCATCTTCCAAAAAAAAAACCTTGCCATCAAAAGTCATGAATTCAAATTTTGTAAGTGAACAACTAATAGTTGGACCATGAATTGTAGTGCAAATAATCGGTGAGATTCAACTATGAAATTGACAAATTGAAATAATTACTCAAGTTTATAATGATATGAAGTTATTATTATTGTTCTTTCAAAATAGAGGTTATAAGAGCTTGTTTGGTAACCTGTTTTTTTGGCTTATCAGTCAACTTTTTCATCAAACACGTAACTTTTGATTTCACGCGTTGAATTATGTAATCATTAAAAAAGTAAGACTGAATTTATTTTTCTGGCTGTATTGGATGATTTTAGTTATTTTTTCATATAACTTTTTCTTTGTGTTATTTATAATAAAAAATATTTTAAATATTCTTTTTCATAAAACTTTTTCTTTGTGTTATTAATAAAAAATATTTTAAATATTTTTTTCCCATAAATCAGCAAAATCAGTCAATCCAACCACTTTAACTAGAACTTCATAAATTTTGGCAGATCAACCGATACAACCAATTTTAATGTTACCAAAGTGCCTCTAAAAGTATTAAAAAGGAATAAGTTATTTGTATCATAATTTTTTTTATGAATGAGATTCTTTTGATGATTTATTAGAAATTAACCTTTTTATGTCATGTGCGCAATTAAACTACAAACAATTTGACCTTTTAGATTACAAGCATAATAATTGGCAACACCATTACCCCACGCCTTCTAGGCGCCCAGCAATGATGAGCGTGGCACCGTTTAATATTCCAAATTGGCGCAAAAGGGCGGGTAATGCGGTGCGGTGACAAATGATCAAGTACGACGTCGTGTTGGTATTCTATTCAATATTGTAACGATTGCCATAATAAGAGCCATGTTTGTGGGCCATTGGCTCAATTTCTTCTTTGACGGACCGAGTATATGCCCTTGATTAGGAAAAAATAGAGCTTTGACCAGCGTTTGTCAAACGTAGAACCTTTAATGACGTTTGCCGACTGCTTTTTATGAGCTAGCACACCTATATATCTTCTTTTTGAAAGTGTAGTATTCCAAAGCACACTTATATGATCTTCTTCATATGACGCATTGTGGGTTCTAAGTTATTAATGAAGTGGATCATGGGAGGTTTTTCTCGAGTGATAATTATATTCTCAACTCTGCAAATAGCTTTTGAAGTCGTATTTTACTTTTCTCAAACGGCAGTGTGAGAGTAGATCAAGGAATAGACGGTATTTCATCAACTAGTGATGGCTGATGGTTCTTGCGGGAGCTACAATAGGAACTTCGATACACGTTAAGTCAACTTACCAGTTAAGAGTGATTTATTGTGCACCGTGATTTATAGATGGACATTAAAAACATAGTGGATTGTTCGAGTGACTCATATTTACCATGTTCAAGGATTTTGGGGTGGTTCTTGAGAGTCTAGCTTAAGTCAAACAAGTCAAACGAAATCGGGATCACCTCGTGTTAACAAAAAGTAAAAAAGAAATGGAATAAAGACAAAGTCCCTTTGATAATATGTAAATTGATTGAATTGACATAATTTATTGAAATTATTGAAATTCTCGTGAAGATGTCGAATTGACTGAATGTGTTGAATTAAGAAAAAATTATGTTTAAGATATATTAAGGAAAATTACTTTATACCCCTTGCGGTTATATCTTACTCCCCTGTCCCAAACTGATTTTCAAAGTCAACATTTTTTGTCAATCAATGTTAAGGTTAAATCCTTCATATTTTTAATTAATTCAATCTTTAATAATTAAAATTAACATATTCAAAAACTGCATTAAAATCT